AACTCCGTCTCGATTTCTATAGCTGTATATATATATTAAAGCCTATTGATCTCACCACCAAAATATATCGTGATAATATCTATTTGGTGTGGCTCTATAGCCTCGTTTTTAAGGTAGTTTTGGTGAGGCCGCGCGCGCACTTTGTGGTCGCGCGCACTTTGTGGTGGGGCTAGTTAGCGCTGAGCTAGTGTCAGAAAGCCAGGGCTGACGGCCGACCTTGATGCCTCTGCTTCTCGTGTCGGTAACGGCCTAATCGGGAACAAGACGAGAGATGGACTTAAGCCCTGTAGATCATGTGCTGACCCCCTCGAGTCATGTTATCCTACTCCGAAATTGTCTCCGACATACTGCTAGGCCTTTGTTAGAAATGGTGATTTCGTGCTGCAATACCACCCTATAAAGATGCGTTCAACTCCCTAAAGCCTAAGAAACTAACCCATATTTCATATCTGGTTATTTTGTATTAATATTTTCACGCTGACAAAACATTATTATTTACCCCCCAACCATATCAAACATGAAGCTCATCTTGTTTATCACTACTCTTATCGCCGTCACCACCGCTAGTCCTATAGCCCAAGATGGAGTGAAGGATGAGGCTATGGACATGGTGAAGCGCACATGTGAACCAAACAGCAATGGAATCGGGATACAATGCGGTTCGAGTGCTGGCGGTAAAGTTGTACGTCTTGGCAACCATCATTAGGCCTACAAGGCGAGATTACCGCAGGGCAAGGTGCGTTACTTCTTGTTCAACATTGTACCTATGCGCTTTTTTATTCATGTAGCTAATCATAGTGATAGTCACATAACACGTACAGCCTCATTTAGGAGGTGGTTTTGGTGAGGCTGCATATGCACATGGTGTGGCACGGTAGCGCGGGCGACAAAACTCACAAGCTTTATATCTATTAACGTATTCCATCACCGAGCGGGCCACATCACCGAGTGTGCCACTTTTTCTTGGCATCACGAACTTCATGTACGAAAACTTAGATTACTCTACACTAGCTATAGATGCTTTGTACGACTTACTTGTATCTAAAAGAGAATCTTCTTCTACATCTTTCTGGCACGTACGAGAGTTATGGCCTGTCCTCCCACAGGTTCTACAGTGCCGTTGACCTGGTAGGGCCCTTTCTTGACTACCCTCACCACGTGCCTTCTTTGATGTCGTACGACCAGCAGAACTACTTTCAGCTACCTGCGATGCCCCTGCACCAAAGTCTAGTGTCCCACCTGTCTGAATTCGCTTTCTTTTGCGCCCTCGGCGCTTTGTTACTGCTGCTAATTGCTCTTCAAGCTCTCTTACGCGGGCCTTTATAAGCACATTCTCATGTAGCATCTCCTTAGCCCCTTTAATAAGCTTTGAAAAGCCTTCTTGTGTAGTAGTTGGCGATCGTACGAAAGACTCTCTTACAAGCTTTAATTGTGACTTAAATTTATGCGAATTACTTGGTGTTCTTGACGTCTAGGGTATTTCTAGCTAAGCTTCTTATAGTGGAGTATAAAGGCGTACGTTAAGGCGATTAATAACTCTCTGCGCGTCAATAGGGACTAGCCCTGCTGCCTCAAAGGCCTTCTTGTAGTTATTGGACGTAAACACGTTAAAAAACGCGTCTTAAAAGGCTAGAAGGAAGCGCTCCTTATTAATATGCTAGACATGGTGGCGTGCCAAGTCTCGTACGCGTTGAGAGTACTTCTGCTTAAGAGGCGAAAAGCAGACAACGTCAAGTGGCTGAAGTATGTGCGATGAATGAGCAGGCATACAGAGGGTAAGGATCTTTCGTACGAGGCAGTAATCCTTAAATTCTTGGTTAAGGTGGCTCTCATGGCCGTCAAGGATGAGTAGCCTGTATAACCCCACCTAACGCGTCTTTGTATGCTCGTCAAAGTGCTTTAACCACGCGAGACCAAGCTCATTGTTCGTCCAGCCGTTCTCTGATACTGAAAGCTTCCAGTCGTACGGTATATCCGCTTCTTCGTACTATGCAGAGATGTGGACGCGTCCCTTGTAGATAATAAATGGCGGGGTAGCGTATCCCGCAGCGCAGATGCTCTGGATGACTGTAACCCACTCGCGATTGCCTGGCTGCGTGAGAGTAGGCCTCGTACGACGCTCTGCGCCTATGACTACCTTCATTGAGCCAATTACGCCCATCTAAAAGCTAGTTTCATCAAAGTTATAGATGTCGTCTAAATGAACTCCATACTTCTCAACCGTCTCTCGTACGAGCTTGAACCACGCGTTAATAATCTCTAGATCCTTTTGTTGAGTTCTCTAACAATTCTTTGCTTAACTAAAGGCTGTTCTAAGCTTGTCTATACGAGTAACAAACCGCTCTGCCCAGCATTTGCCTAAAGGCTCGCCATCTCGTTCGCGTAGTAGTTTCTCCGCCATATCTGCTACTTCACATAGACGGGGGGCAAATCCTCGCGAGTCTAGGTTAAGAATATATCGTACGATAGTTTGCTCTTTAGACTTAGTTAGCTTCTAGCAATTTAGCTGTGTTGTAGGTCGAAAGGTGATTCCTTAAAGCCGCTGAGAGATCTGCTGATGATGGACGTTGTAGGCTGCTGCAGCGCGTCGAATGCTCTTAAACTGGCCTGTACGATAGACCTGAATAGCTAGAGTAAGCCTACTTTCTTGCTGAGTTAATATCGCGTTCTGTTGTTGGGGCATTATCTTTCGTACGTGAAGTTCGTGATGCCAAGAAAAAGTGGCACACTCGGTGATGTGGCCCGCTCGGTGATGGAATACGTTATAGCTGTTAAAATACAGTAGTTTTATTGATTATTTCAGTTATAATAATACACAAGCGCTTAATGCGAAGATAGTGAGTTGACAAATACTTTTTAAAAGACTACTTTTTTTGTTTTTTTTTCTAAGAATTTAATGCAGGTATCACGTCTAAAATCAATACATCAATTAAGCTAAACAGGTTCCTATTGCCCAGCAGGTTCACAAACAATTGCTATTACATTTGATCTTGGTTAAAATGAATGTATTATACTCACTATTACCGTAGAATAATTTACTATAGATACTACTTGATAAAAACTTTATGTTTTAGTAACATAGCCGGCCCACGCTATACAAGTGTTGTAGACTCGCGCAATCTATACGAATATCAGAATTCAAAATCTCAAATACGTACTCGTTGTTAGCTCCTAAGTATCCATTGACTAACGCCCAAACCCGCACTTGAACCAACACGGCGACATCTGCAAGCCCGATGACACAAAGTCCCTCTATCAAGCTCGCTCATAAGACCCCAATCAATCAAGACTAGGAACGCAGAAAATGCCTGGAAAGCTCATCTTGAATAGCCTTGCTCCATTCAATAGCCATCATCATATCTTGTAGGTTAAACAAAAGGACTTCCTTCGCGAGACTACGTGCAGCCTGTGCTTTTTCTACCTGTCGTAATATCATAGTAACTGTTTACACATCTATTCTCATCCCTCTAATCATACTAGCGCAATCGTACAGCTCAAGTCGTGCATCTACATCGCCAGCATCTACGAGTTACTACACGATAACCAGACTACGCTTACCACCGCCATCAACACAAGCAGACAAAGCGCGCTGCCTAGCACAGTTTGTACATATTAAATCGAGTCTTGAAAAGATATTAGCATATATCCCCGCGAGTACACCCAGGTATCCATGTCCACCGCCGTATGAGCATCCACATCCATGTGCCCCATACTGATTCGTTCGACTTAGTCAGACTGTGTAGGTAGGCTACGTAAGTAAAAGCCTGGGGGCTCAGCGACATACGCACATACACATGCAAGGGGTGGAATTTTTTTTCCATCTAGAATAGTCCAATATTGCAAATCAAACCTTAGCACTACACGGTTAGAATCACGGATAACATGATGAGTAGAATGTAGTACCTAGTTCCAAGTTAGCGAGATCCCTTTCTTTTCATCAGCGACAAATAGATATGGAAAACCTGGTGCGACTCCTCACCAACCCCATCTAATAGCATGACCGTATCGCGCGAGTCTTCGTATTACCAACTCACTTGGCACACAAACAGCACACACACACACACAAGGAGTTAGAAGTCCGAAAGCTGCATGTCCGAGCAGCTGCTACATGATGTAGACGATAGACCCCAAAAAAAAACCAGGGTTTTTTTTATTTTACACACGACGTTGTTGGTACATATAGCAGAAAACAAGCTACGACGACGGCGACGACGACGACTATCTACCTAAGCAACCAACTACCCAGAAGACAGAAAGAAGCAACACGCTTTGAGTATTTAGCAGAGAAGCAGGGAAGAAAGAACATCAAATGGTGGGGGGGACCCTTGCATCGACAGCCAATGTACTATAGTAGCACACACACACACACACACACACACATACACACACTCGAGTCTAAAAGAAAAACCAAGAGTGAAATATATATCATTAAACGAGGTCAAGAAGAAAAAAAGGAAGAAGAAGAAGAAGAAGAAGAAAAAGAAGAACAAGGACTCTGGCTATGCAAATTGATGTTAACCTACATGAACGATGCCCCCCTCCCTAAAAAAAAGGACCCTCATGACCAAGAGAGGAAGAAAAAAAAGCAATCCCATGTCTATCATCGTCGTAGTCATCGATGCGATTTAGGTAAGAAAGGAGAAAAGAAGAAGATGTTCAAACTCATCCTCCGCGCACCTCCCCCATTAAGTTGCATATGAAAGCCATTCCCCCCCCTCCTCCTCCTCCTCCTCCTCAGCCGTTGTCGTAAAAGAAACAAAAAGACACAAAGACATGATGATCTAACTAGCTCTCCTTGCCAACTTCATCTAGCTTCGCCATCATGGCCTGTACTTCCTTGACGAGCGCCTTTCGCTTGAGTCTTGCGTCTGGGTCGCCTTCGGTATCCACACCGTCTAGCTTGAAGATGATCTGGGTGAGAATTGTCTCGCTCAGCTTTTTGTATTCGAATGTCTTCTTGGCCTTGTCTTCTGGCGGGTTCGACATGAATTGCACGCACAGTGGCACGAGCTCGGTGTGGAACTTGCTGGCGACGGCTTCGAGCTTGGCAATCGGAGAATGAGGCTGAGCAGGCTTGGTGTTTTGAGGAGGCGTAGACGAAGGGCGGGGTCCAGCGTTGATGTGAGACGGCATGGGGAGGTACTCTGAGCCAGCACCGGCAGTGGAGTAGCCAGGTGTCGAGGTGCCAGAAGTATTTGCAGAGGCGCCTTTCTTCTTGCTCTTTCTGCCACCGCGCTTGCGGGACTTCTTCTTGCCCGATGCATTCACGCCGGAATCATCACCGTCATCATCATCGTCCTCACCCTCGCTCCAGGCGCGCTGTGCTGCGTCTTCTGATCCAGTGGCGTAGCCGGCGGCAGGCCCCTCGCCCACGGTAACCAGAATTTCACTACCGCTGCTGTCGCCACGTAGGCCTTCGTCTCGCGCGGTCCGCTCGTCATGCTTCAAATTCCTGCCCTTGTAAAACATGCGTATCTTTCGGTGGTCATCGACGCCCAACTTCTTCGCCGCAGCCTGCCGCACCGTGCCAATCTTCAAATCTCCATCACGTATGCTATGTGCCGGGAAATGCGTAGGGTAGTGTGTCCGTCCATGCTTGAAGATGAGCACATCGGTGTCCCGGTCTGGGTTCTTGTCGTCCCAGTCGACGATTTCAGGTGCTTGCGCCTGCCCGTTCCGGCGCAGGTCTTCGTTTGTAATGTACGAAAAGTCGGAGTCGCTTACGACGCTGGCGTTTGGCGAGTTGCCCGGACGGCCAAAGGGCGAAAAGCGGCCTCCCCAGCTGCCGCCAGCACGAGAGAACCACGACATGGCGACGATCAAGGAGGCGAGTGCGATGACTAGTGTGGTAAGGTAGGCCGGGTCGTCGAAGCGTGGGTTGGTGACAATGTCTGCGACGCCGCTCAAACCGCGGTGTTGCAGGAAGCGGATAATCTTTGATAGCGCGTCTGTGGAATGTTCGGTCCCGCGTGGGGAAGAGGCTGTGCTGATGCCTAGCAAAGAGCTGTTGCTGAAGAAGTTGAAGGATTTCTTCAATTCGCCGACCAGGGTGTTCAGCGACGCCACGGTGATGATGTGAAGGCGCCCTGCTCGTTAGCAAGGCGTGATGTGTCCGCGCGTACTCAGATGACGTAGCAGTAGTTGGGAATGCCCTTGTGTGTGCCGTGGGGTCTTCTGCAAGCGGTCGGAACTGCTCGTTGAATCGGCCAAACGTATTAGCGATGTGACGTCGCATTAGGAAAAGGTCCGACTACGATGCGCACGAGACGCGTGGCTTAGTCACCATCGACGGCCACTCCACACCGGACGCCTCACGAGTTTGCCTATCAACTTGAGCATACGCTTTCTATTTGATATATTGTACATAGGCTAGACTGAGCTAGGCTTGATCATCAAGACCGTTTCCGCTGTATGCAATGACCAAGGACATGAGATTCCGTGAATCAAGAAACAAAATGTGACAGCTGATATCTGCAAAACCACCCAGTATTACGCCCGCCGCCATGACATGAAAAAAGGACAGGTTTCGTGAGATTAGGAAAGTGGCATAAGTCGTGCTTAGGACATGGAAGCACGGTCCGGAACGCTCAAAAGTCACAAAAGTGTAAGAGTGAACAAGGGCGACAGGCAAAGCCGAAATCAAGCTTTGCTCCGCTTGGGTGTAGCCAAGAAATCCAGCCTCGATTTGCTGATGGTGCTGGACCGGGCACCTGGGGTATGACGCAGCATCTTGCTGGTCCTGGCGGGAGTCTTTGGAGTGGGCGCAGACGTAAGCTTTGCTTTCTTGGTCGAGCGTGTCTCCTCTTCGGCAGGACCATCGTTCTCCTTATCAGACGCTTCCTGCACAGTTTGTAGCTTGCGCCTCTTTTCCTCGGGACCGTCGCTCTTGCGGACCATGCGGATCGTGCCACTTGATGCAGGACCTGGAAGAGGATCAGCAAAACATATCCAATCAGATCAAGATATTAGCACATACCAAAGCTGATGGCTTTTCCAGACTCGAATGAAAAAGAGCGCGGGTGGTTGGGTGTCTCGCCACCAAACATAAGACGGCGTGATGGTGAGTTTGTGAGGGTCTCAGCTTCCTGGGACAGCTCCGGATACTTGACCACAGAACCTAGACTCGGATAGATCACGGCACCAGTGGGCACCTCAGTGCCGGCTCTAAATTTCATAGGCGACGGCGACTTGCCCAATTCGTCGTGCGATGCACGCTCCAGAGTACTATTCGAAAAGTTGACATGCTTCTTCACGGGGGCAGTAGCAGGAATTGCGGGTGGCGCTCCGTCGAAGTCTGACACAGGAGGGGACATGTGTGTACCGGCTGCAATCTTGGTGGGGTCATTTGAGAACTTTCGGTTAGGAGTGCGGAGGATCGAGCGAACACGCTGGAGGTTGTGGCTTGCCTATGCACAGTTTAGTGATATTTCAATGAAATTCAACGTGCATACATACCTTGCGCATGCTTTCTCTCGCACCATCTCTCATAGCCCGCAATTGGCTAAGGTTACTGGACGGAGACAGTGTCTGATCTATAGATGAGGCCCTGGCAAGGTTGGCCGTAGAAGGCGACTTTCCAAGGGCTGGAATCATCGATGTGGTCTTCACGTTTTTGACACTCTGCGAACGTGCAACCGACGACTTTGTAGGCGTCATGAGACGAGCGGCCAGACGGGGAAGCGCAGTCTGAGACGTAATCCTCCGCGCTGGGGTTGCAGTCGTAGGCGTAGAAGCGTCAGGCTTGTTCCCGCCCGGTGAAGGACGGGTAGTAGAGGCATCATCAGACTCTGTGCGCTTGACACGCTTTGCTGCCCGGTTGCAATCGCCTTCGTCTTCTCGTGGAGCGGGCTGAGAGCGCGGCAGACTGGAGCCCGTAGCGTCCGGCTTGGGCAGTGTGCGCTTCAGCGGTGTCGGTGGAATCTTGCTTCCCGAGTCTGTCGCGGTCGTTTGGGGCTGTGCGCGCTTCGAATTGCTCGATTCTGCAAGGTCCATCTTTGACTGTGTGCGCTTGAGTTTGCCTGCCTCTGGCTTGGCAACATCTGGCTTTGAAGGCGATTTCTTCTGCGACTGGCCAATGACGGGTTTGAATCGGGCTGGGTCAGCGCGGAATGCCGAAGGGTGATTGGCAATGGAGTCCATGTTCTTGAATTGCTTCATGTGCGCGTCGCTGAAGCGGGCCATCTTGCCCTTGGCTTCCGCCTTCTTACGCTGAGGGGACACATCGGCCTTGGAGGACCATTCGCTGGTACCTACCCAGAAGTCAGGACAAAGAAATTAGACAGAGTCAAGCCACCACATACCAAACAGAGCGCGACATCCAGCACCAGGCGTACCTGTGATGCCGGCATCCTTCAAGATGTTGCGCGAGCTGGGGCTCAATTCAGCCTCGTCCGGTTTGGAAGGCGACTTGAACCGGAAGCCGAAACTGGGCGACGAGCCAATGTTGGCAGCGTTGCTCGTAGCAGGCACAGGAGTTTTTGAAGGAGTAGCCTGGCCTACCGCCAAACCAACTGCCTTTGGCGGGGCAGTGTGCGCGCCCAATGACTGGAACCCTAGCCAGCGTGCCTCGTCCAGGACCTTGGCGGTGCTGGCGTGATGATGCGCCGGGTGCATCTCCTGGCCTGCAGGCTTGATGGGCGTACGGTACTTGGGCGTGTGAATCTCTGTGACAGCAGCAGACGCCTGGGTAGATTTGTTTCTGTGCGGCGTGGGCGTAGGGGTCGTTGTTGCTTGTGCGAGCTTGGATGAAGACTGGGCGCCCTCGGAGGGCTTGGAGTGCGACGGCGTCTTCGCACCAGGTTCCAGAAGCTCTGGGAGCTCTGGGAGATCCGGGAGTCCTACATCTGCAGGGGACGCGGTATGCGAGTTATCGGCTGGCTTTGTTGAGACATCTGGCGTCGTCTCGCGCTACAGCAGAGCGGCGCATTAGCAGATGTAAACAAACACACGAGGGGAAACGAGCGACTCAGGCGCACACACCTTCAAGAGACGGGCAGAGCGACGCGCCATATTGCACCAACAGCTCAAGTAACTGCTGAGCAAGGGTGAACAATGGAGTTGGGGGTGGAGATTGAGGATGGTCTGTGGGTGGGGAGAGACGGGATGTGGGAGGAATCGGCTAGGGCGTCGATAAACAAAGTGCACGGGCCTGGCTGTCCATGTTAGGCCGCGACGTCATGGTCTACACGTGTAGAATGCGACGAAACGCAGAGTGCGTTTAGTCTAATTTAGTGATGTTTGGAAATGCAAGAAGTGGCTTTTTGAGTGTGCGAAGAGCGGCAAATGCCTCAAGAGGCAGTCTTGAGGAGACGTCACGGGTCATTGCTGAGTGGTGCAAATGCCACGCTGGTGCAAAGGATATTGTTGGACCAAGCAGAAGTGTTCTTTTGGAAATGTTGTTGTCCTTTTTGCAATAAACATCAAGATGGAAGTCCAGCGCGTTATGCGCTCCGCGTTAAACTCTCATATCTGGAGCCGTCACCAACCTTTCTCGACCGGCTTCCCAAGCAGCGCACCAGGAGGCTTGGCCAGTCCAGCTTCAACGCTCCTTTCTACCTGCTCTCTCAAATCCTGCTTGGCCGCCACATCAGCCTCTTTTTCTTCCTTTGCCTGCTCTTCGCTTTTCCACACAAAGTTGCCGGCTCCGCCTCTTCCACTCCTTGCAACAGGCAACTCCTGGCCCTCTGGATGCCATGGAGTGCTGATTTGCGGGGTGGGAGATGTCGGAATAGCAGTAGAGTCACCGGGCTGAGTAAACGTGCCGTCCTTCTGCAGCTCAGTAGGCTGGTACCAGTTGCCTGCACCACCACGACCCATGTGTGCATAGGTTTGCGATGAGTTGGCAGGCTGCACCGTGGCTGAAGAGTCAGAAGGTGGTGCAGCAGTTGAAGCGGAGCGGTTTGCCTCGAGATCCTTGGTATAATGTCAACTTGGCCGCGTTATGTAGACGATTAGACTTGCACGAGCACTTACCTCTGCAGCTTTCTTGCTCTCTTCCTTGGCTGCGTAGTAATTACCTGCGCCTCCTCGGCCGTATGCCATGGTGTGTTGGTGCACAAAGGTAACGAATGCAAAGGTTGAAGGGAGACTTTTGTCGTGAGTGATGATAAGAAGCTGACAAGATCAAGGGTTTACATGTCACTATGCACGACACACGGCTGCGGGTGGGTCGTGTGAGCAAGCATCCGCCGTCCTGGGCTGAGGGAACGTGGGGATGATGACATTAATGATCGGGCTTCAGTGTGGGGGTCGAGGGTGACTGCATGGATCCGAGCCTTGGCAAGATGATAATAGCAACCGCCTACAAAACAGGTACACGGCATAAAGGTCTGCAAGCATCACGCAAGTATTAGGCCATTTCGCTCAGCAGATATTCAAGAATGAAGAGTTGAAAATCATAAAATTTACACAGTGTGTCTTGGGAGAAAAAGAAAAAAACGTGCTGACTGAACAAGCAGGTCGTAAGAGGCATTTTCCCGAGTAGTGATCGAAAAAGCGAACAGAAGTAAGGCATCGCTGTATCAACAAAATAACCTAGGACTATCATGCCACCTCCTTGGTGATCCTGGCGAACGCCTTGACGCCAATCTCCCAACCTAAACTCCACAAACCATCATGAACTTGTCCATGTTTCGCCAAGTCTATTCTCGTCCCTCTTGCACAGCGCGCAGGACAGGATATAGGTTATGAGCATCGTCGTCGCTCATGCGGCGCTCCGAGTCGTGCTTCTCGTCTTCTTCATCGTCATCGTCGGTGAAGTCGTGCGCCTCTAGTCGTTCCTTGAGGTAAGCACGGAGTCTCTCAATCACGCGAATGTTCTCAACCCAAGATTGCTGGGATGAGTCGCCTTGCTCGGTAGTAGACGAGGACACGCTTGGTGAGCGAAGAGCAGGGTCAACCTTGGGCGAGTGCAGAGCCAGCTGGTTGACGTTGTGGTGGAGAGTATCTTGGTCAGCATCTTGCGGCTCCTTGGGAGAAGCGCCATCACTCGAAGTGTCCATTGAGTTGCTCTCGGACCGGTCTGGAGCAGCCTTTTGCAGGAGATTACCCGAGAATCGTCGCCGGTTGTCGGAGTCGAAAGCGGGGGCAAGACCCGATGACGGAGCTGCAGAAGACATGTCTGACATGGCGCTGACCGAGGGGAGAGTGGGGTACATGCTGCCGATGGATCCTCTTGATGTGGGAGAGACGCCGCTTCCGGAGTGCGACGGGCCGGGCGAGTGCTGTGAGCCGTACGACAAAACGCTCGATGCGGGAGTCAGAGCCGGAGTCTCAGCGGTAGTGGAGCCGATGGCAGTGGCGTGAGAAGTTTGAGAGTGGCTAGAAGACAGGCCGGGCGGCGAGTTGCTAGCGCGGTAGCTGGCGCCCGTGTGGATGTAGTGGCCGGGGTGCGCCACACCGGCCGCGGCCGCGTGGTTGGGGTTCTCATAGACGGTGCTCTGCAGCTGCTCCAAGAACTGATCAATGTTCAGAAGATCGCTCTTGGTCCTCAGGTTGGGCAGTGGCAGAGAGTAGGGGTGGTGCATGGGAGGGTGCTGCGCTTGGGCAACCATGGTGCCTCCGTGGCCGCCGTACTCGCCCATGCCGCCCTGGTAGCCGCCGCCACCGAGAACAGGAAGTTGGACACCCTGAAGACCCATGAGTCGCTGGCCAACGTCATAGTAGGTCGTGGGGTCGATTGCGCGGCGCTTGGCGTCTCCAAAAAACTCGTTGAGCGCATCGTAGGCGGCGCGCTTCCTGATTTCGTAGTCGTTGTTGAGCTGCTGCGACTGGTTTACAGCATAGTAGACGGGGCCATAGGCAGAGTTTTGGGGCGGGCCTCCGTAGAAGCCGGCTGGGGCACCGCCGGGGTGCTGTTGGCCGTAGCCTGCATTGGGGCCAATTGCGCTGTCGGGATACTGATATCCACTCGCTGTAGCGGCAAGGGCCTGCAAGTCAGCGACCACTGTTGCAGGCTGTTAGATTGTGAAAGGAGAGAGAGGGCGCGAGCACGGCTGGGCTCGGGACGACGACAACCGAGCACGTCATGTGAAAGGACTTACGTTTCCCGTTTTGGCCGGGGTAGCCTTGGGCTCCGTGGGCGCCGCCGCGGTTGGGCTCTGGCGAGCGCAGCAGAACAGAGTCGTCGGCGTGCGTCTTGACGTGCTTCTTGAGATCCTGGGGGCGCTTGAAGGCCTTGCCGCAGAAGTCGCACTTGTGCGGCTTGAGGGGCACGTGAACGCGGATGTGCGAAGTGATGTGGTCGCGCTTGACCGTCGTGGTGCGGCAGTTACCCCACTGGCACGTCAGGTTGAGGTTGTTTGTGCT